GTTGTTTCAAGTGTGGTTGATTGTACTGTGTAGTACGTTGTACGTTGTTTGTTTGGTGACGTATTGTATGTAACTATTGTGGAGTGTGCATTCTTGTGTATTGTTTTCGATCTGCCATTTTTGAGAATATAGTATTTGTTTAGTTTATCGACTCTCGGCTCTGAGTTGTTCTTTGGGCCACAGCCGGCGTCCGCTGGCGCGCCAAAAAGGACCACTTCTAAATTGTCCACGCTTTCGTGGTGCGGTTCGGAGGGCCAATACTTCGGCCCTTGGAATTAGCCCGGCGATCGCCTCCCTAATAAACGGGACTGGTGTGACACTTGTATTGTGCCTTCTTCAATTTGAAAATTCGCCAAAATTATTGGTAGCAATAAAAAGTTTCTTTCACTTGGCTTGGCCTTCATTTTATACACTACTGCCCATTGTTGCACATATGCAACATCCCATTATTAATTTGCAGACTATATCTTCATGTTTTTTATTGAAAACTTGCACTCCTAGTGACTCTAAGGACGTAGCCAAGAAATATTTTGAAGTTTGGAAAAGTGTTTCTCATACTGGGAATTAATGGGATATATATCATCAGCCTGACTACGTCCACTGCAGGACAAAGGCCTATCCCATGTTCCGCCAGTTAACCCGGTCCTGTGCTTACTGCTGCCAATTTAATTTATACCCGCAAACTTCTTAATCTCATCTGCCCACCTAACCTTCTGTCTCCCCATAACCCGCTTGCCTTCTCTGGGAATCCAGTTAGTTACCCTTAACGACCAGCGGTTATCCTGTCTATGCGCTACATGCCCGGCCCATGTCCATTTCTTCTTCTTGATTTCGGCTATGATATCCTTAACCCCCGTTTGTTCCCTAATCCACTCTGCTCTCTTCTTGTCTCTTAAGGTTACACCTACCATTTTTCTTTCCATTGCTCGCTGCATCGTCCTCAATTTAAGCTGAACCCTATTTGTAAGTCTCCAGGTTTCTGCTCCATAGCTAAGTACTGGCAAAATACAGCTGTTATATACCTTCCTCTTCAGGGATAGTGGCAATCTACCTGTCATAATTTGAGAGTGCTTGCCAAATGTGCTCCACCCCATTCTTATTCTTCTAGTTACTTCAATCTCGTGGTTCGGCTCCGCGGTTATTACCTGCCCTAAGTAGACATAGTCTTTTACAACTTGAAGTGCACTATTACCTATCCCGAAGCGTTGCTCTTTTCCGAGGTTGTTGTACATTACTTTCGTTTTCTGCAGATTCATTTTAAGACCCACCTTTCTGCTCTTATTGTCTAACTCCGCAATCATGAGTTGCGATTCGTCCCCTGAGTTACTCAGCAATGCAACGTCATCGGCGAAGCGCAGGTTACTATGGTACTCTCCATGAACTCTTATTCCTAACTGTTCCCATTCTATGCTTCTGAAAACCTCCTGTAAGCACGCGGTAAATAGCATTGGGGAGATAGTGTCCCCCTGCCTTACACCTTTCTTGATTGGTATTCTGTTGCTTTCTTTATGAAGCACTATGGTAGCAGTTTATTCCCTGTAGATTTCTTCCAGGATGTTTATATATACTTCATCGACGCCCTGATTCCGCAGTGTCTGCATGACGGCTGATATTTCTACTGAATCAAACGCCTTCTCGTAATGTATGAAGGCTATGTATATTGGTTGGTTATATTCTGGGCATTTCTCTATTACCTGATAGATAGTATGAATGTGGTCGATTGTTGAGTAGCCTGTTCGAAATCCTGCTTGTTCCTTTGGTTGATTGAATTCTAATGTTTTCTTGACTCTGTTAGCAATTACCTTTGTAAATAGCTTGTATACTACAAAGAGCAAGCTAATCGGCCTGTAAGTCTTCAAGTCCTTGTCATCTCCTTTTTTATGTATTAAGATGATGTTAGCGTGCTTCCAAGACTCTGGTACTCTTCCCGTCAGGAGGCACCTCGTTAACAGGAGGGCTAGTTTTTCCAACACAATTTGTCCTTCATCTTTCAGCAGATCTGATGTTGCCTGATCCTCACCAGCAGCTTTGCCTCTTTGCATGCTCTCCAAGGCTTTTCTGACTTTTTCTATCATTACTGGTGAGGTGTAATCTGGGTTACTGCTAGTTCTTATAGTATTAAAGTCGTGGTTGTCCCGGCTACTGTACAGATCTCTGTAAAACGCCTCCGCTATTTTAACTATCCTATCCATATTGGTAGTTATTTTGCCTTCTGTGCCCCTTAGTGCATACATCCGACTTTTGACTATCCAGGGTTTCCTCTTCACTGCTTTGACGCTTCCTCCGTTTTTCAGAGCGTGTTCAATTCTCTCCATGTTATAACTTCTTACATCGGGTACCTTACGCCTATTAATCAACTTCGAAAGCTCTGCCAGTTCTATTTTGTCTGTTGTACTTGAGACTTCCATGATTTGACGCTTCTTAATGAGCTTCTTCGTTTCCTGGGTAAGCTTGTCAGTGTCATGTCTAACTACCCTGCCTCCAACTTCCACTGCACACTCCGTAATGATACTCGTCAGATTATCATTCATTGTATCTATGCTAAGGTTGGTTTCCTCACTAAGAGCCGAGTACCTGTTCTGAAGCGAGAATCTGAATTCCTGTACTTTTCCTCTCAGTGCTAGCTAATTGATTGGCTCCTTGCGTATCAATTTCTGTCGTTCTTTCTTCAAGTCCTGGTGAATTCGAGACCGTACCATTCTATGGTCACTGCATCGTACCTTGCCAACCACTTCCGCATCCTGCACGATGCCTGAGTTTACACTCATTATAAAGTCTATTTCATTCTTAAATTCGCCATTAGGGCTCCTCCATGTCCACTTGCGGTTTTCTCGTTTTCGGTAGAAGGTATTCAAAATCCGTAAATTATTGCGTTCTGCGATTTCTACTAGTAGCTCTCCTCTGGCGTTTCTAGTACCGATGCCATAATCTCCTACTGCCTGGTCTCCAGCCTGCTTCTTCCCTACCTTTGCATTAAAGTCTCCCATCAGTATTGTATACTGTGTTTTTACCTTTCTCATTGTCGATTCCACGTCTTCATAGAATCATTAAACTGAAGCGTCATGAAGACTGGGTGTAGGCGCGTATGCCTGTACCACCTTCATCTTGTATCTCTTATTCAGTTTAATTATGATACCTACCACCCTTTCATTAATGCCATAGTATTCCTCTATGTTGCCAGCTATGTTTCTGTGAATTAGGAACCCCACTCCCAGTTCTCTTCTGTCAGACAAGCCCCGATAGCAAAGGACGTGCCCATTCTGTAGCACCGTATAGGCCTCATCTGTCCTCCTAACCTCACTGAGCCCTATTATATCCCATTTAACACCGTCTAGCTCCTCGAATAGTACAGCTAGACTTCCCTCACTAGATAAGGTTCTAGCGTTAAACGTTGCCAAGTTCTGGTTCCAATGGCGGCCTGTCCAGCCGCCATTGGAACCTGAACACCTATATATATAGATATATTGCGAAGTTCTTTTTATTCTTTATTCTTTATTCAATGATTACCCCGCTTAGCCCGAAGGCGCTGCAGCAGGGGGCTTACAATGTCGAGAAAAACACACCTTCATTAATACAGCACACTTGTTCATTTGATAAGTGATTCCATTCTCTAATGGAACGAACAAAAAACGAACTAGCATACAAATTAGTTGCCTGAAATTGGACACGGCATCCTCCCACACCATCGATTGGTCAAATGTGTACCGGCAAATTGGACACCACGCACCAAGTAACGGGCAGAAAGCCTCGAGGGCATCAAGGGGGCGGGTGGCACGGTGACATTACAAACTCGATTGACAGAAAACGTCAAGCCGTGTCAATACGTGTCGCTCACACTACAGCTTGTTATTTTTCAAAAGGAATAAATTACCGCGTTGCATTACTGCATCAGCAAGTCAAGAGCAGGCTTTCACCTTTAAAATGTTACTGGTAGTGCGCGCGTGCGTGTGCGCGCATGCGTGTGTGTGTGTGTGTGTTTGTGTGTGTGTGTGTGTGCGTGTGCGCGTGTGTGTGTGTGTGTGCGCGTGTGTGTGTGTGTGCGTGTGCGCGTGTGTGTGTGCGTGTGTGCGTGTGCGCGTGCGCGTGTGCGTGCGCGTGTGCAAGTGTGCGCGTACGCGTGTGCGTGCGCGTGTGCAAGTGTGCGCGTGCGCGTGTGCGTGTGCGCGTGTGCGCGTGCGCGTGTGCGTGTGCGCGGGCGCGTGTGCGTGTGCGTGCGCGTGCGTGTGAGCGGGTGCGTGTGCGCGGGCGCGTGTGCGTGTGCGTGCGCGTGCGTGTGCGCGGGCGCGTGTGCGTGTGCGTGCGCGTGCGTGTGCGTGCGCGTGCGTGTGCGTGCGCGTGCGTGCGCGTGCGTGTGTGTGCGTGCGCGTGCGCGTGCGTGTGCGCGTTCGTGTGCGTGTGCGCGTTCGTGTGCGTGTGTGTGAGAGAGAAAGAGAGAGGGAGAGAGAGAAAGAGAAGACTCTTGCAGTGTCAGCGTTCAGTGACTGTGAAAATGAGGGGTAGTACCCAATTCGTGCTTCAGAGCTTCAACCATATTTGAGGCTTGGTTTTTCCCCTGTTTTGGTTTCGTTTCGAGTAGGACAACAAACTGTTGCTAATTTTGTGGCCTGATTTGAACAGGTGAGCCTAAAAGGTAAAGGTGGTGAAGTGAAACTGCTGAACATTTGCTGATTGTCGTCTCATGACAAGCAAGCTCTGAGCCACCTGAATCCAATCGAAGCCAGAAGAACGAAGTAGCTACCATTCCCATGTTCGCTGAAGCACCGTGCGTCGAGCTCCCTTAGATATTTGCACCAGAGTTCCCGCTATTGTACTTACACGAAACTATGAGCCACACCACTGACAGAAGATAGTACAATGACCCCCCAAAAATAGTTAACGAACCTCTTTAAAAAGATTCAAACACAGGGCAAGCCAGAGTAGAGATGCCTTAATTTTTTTATATACCAAGACACTTTGCACTGTTAGGTGGGCAGGAGCTTCAGCAAACTTCGCATGCTTACCATGTTTTGGTTTCCTCTTCTGTGTACTTCACCCTTGGTATTGGCTGTCCACTGAAAAGCACCGAATAGGTGACATTATGGGAACACTGTCACCATATCCCTTTATTCTCAAGATAATGAACGCAACTTCTGATTGATCACTATGACAACCATATTGATTGTATGATGAGCCATCATTGAACGTTATACTCTCTCGGGAGTCTCTAATAAAACAAAAAACATTTTTGATCCCTCTCTATAGTTATCAATACTACTCGAAAGTGAAACGTATTTTTACAGAGGTATTTGAGCGTTTATTGAGCATTGCTTTAGCAAAAGGCAACCAATTCCAAATTCAGGTTAATTGATTGATTGATAAGTGGGGTTTAACGTCCCAAAACCACCATATGATTATGAGAGACGCCGTAGTGGAGGACTCCGGAAATTTAGACTACCTGGGGTTCTTTAACGTGCACCCAAATCTGAGCACACGGGCCTACAACATTTCCGCCTCCATCGGAAATGCAGCCGCCGCAGCCGGGATTCGATCAAATTCAGGTTAACGGCAAGCAGCTCGAAACTTGCAGCGCACACCTCAAGCAGAAAGCGCGCACGAAATCAGCATACACAGGACGAGCACGGACTAACAACTGTCACAGTTCGACACATAAAGCGCGCTGTTCAAACAAAAAAGACGCACGAAACGAGCGCACATACACAGCACAAGCAGGAACAGTTGTCGCAACTATTACTGCGCCACGTGTCAGCAGCGCGCTCCTAATAGTACACGCGGCCGCGGAAGCATGCGAAGTGACCTCCGTCGTATTCCGAATGACGAATCCGATAAGCGCGCACGCAGGAGAGACCACGCTCCGTGGGGGCGGCGCTTCGTAGAGACAACCTTTAATGCGCGCCCAACGGGAGCCTTTGGCGCCATCTCGCCACTGATAACAAAAACGCGCTAAAGTTTCGAAGCTCTGAGGGCTATCAAATGGTTTTGGTGTACATAAATGGTTTGCCAATAGCATACTGCTCAACGTATGCTTTGTGGTGTAGGAATTAGCTCCACGCGCTGTGAATCGAGAGGTTGACGGTTCGATTCCGCGTGAAAGATGCTTTGTTTTTTTCTTCAAAATCTCTTATACAATTTTCAATGCCACTTCCGCGACGGAAGTACGTCAGCGGAACCATGGTGGACCCCGCTATAAAACACTATCCTGGCTAAATGAAACTAGCAATGAAAAAAAAATGTGTGCAGTTACACTCACCAAGAAAGCAGTGGGAAGTACGTGGCCAGAAAGGGAGCGTTTCATTTGTAAAGAAGTAGCACCCTCTATCCTTTTCTTTTCTATCCACCTCACTATCACATCACTTCTCCTCACCCTCACTTTATTTCCCAAACTTTTATGAATGAAAGTTATGCTAAAATAACCCGCCTGAAATTCATGTGGAGAGATAAAACATTTATCGTGGCAGAAAAACCGAGAGGTCTTCCTGAATCCATTTTCTGGCATGCAAATCAGCGTTAGGAAAGTGGAGGGGGAAAGAAAAGAGAGAGAAGGTACTGATGATGAGAAAGGCAGCAGGTTAAAAAACCACACGCTGTCGATATCGATAGGCGTCCCCCCACTACAGCGTCAGTCATAAGCATGTCAAATTTACGGTGCGTGAATCCCCAGCAGTTATTGCTACTATTCGTAGAGCGGCTTATTTCGAAACCACCCACTCACAATCGGTTCTTGGTAGCGAATGTGTAGACGCCTTTATTAACAGGTCGCGCTGCGCGCTGCCACGGTTTGACAGTATGCCGACGTGAGTACCGTTGTTTTAAATGCGGACCATTTCTGAGTGGAACCATGTCACCGATCCGGCGTCTGCGGCACCGTCCGCACCCCCACTGCGCATGCTCGCGTTTCGTGTCACATGCTCGCAACTTGTACCCACTGTCACTCTTCACCCCTCTCCCTAGGAAGGCCGACGGAGGCAGCGTCTGTTAGGGAAAACAAATCTCCCCAGCAGTACCTTAGGGAAAAAGATTCTCTCACCTTGGAAGTCAAGAAGTACCTTGGAAGTCAAGATCGAGAGCCTATATGTACGGTTTGACCATTGGACGGTTGCGGAGTGTGAGCAGCCGGTTTGTTTGTTTTGAGTCAAGAAACTCGTTATAGGAGATGCTGCCTGTGTCGGCGTTGCATGGCGAGAGAGGCGGGGAGCGTAGGAAAGCAGAGAAAGAGAGCGGGGACACATGCGCAATGAGAGGGGGGGGGGGGGGGGGGTTAGACGCCACTGGACAAGGGACACAGCTGCTGGTATGAGATTTTTTGCATCTAAATAAAGCAATCAATGACACACACAGCTTGGCTGCATTTTAAAGATTAAAAAATCGCCCAGATGGTAAAAAATTAAACTCTTAGTTAGTGCGATTGGTAATGACAAATAGGAAATAAATTATATACCTCTCGGAATGCACAAATAGGACAATATGAAAAAAAGTACGTATTATGCAGGAAGCATACGCGGAGTGTATTCGGAACCTATGAGTAACATGTGGACAACCTATTGGGCGTTAATACAACAACTTGCGCCAAGTACATTTTTACTGTTCGCACTCTGTAAAGTAAATCTGAAAAAAAAATCGAGCAGGGCAGTAGTTCCTAATATATATTAGATATTTCAACGTTTCTGAACAAACTTTACCACTTTTCTATGGAACTTTTTTCTCGAGGGTCACAGCTTAAAATGTTCACTAATCAGTCTGCGTTAGTTACTTCACCTCGCCAATTCGCATGTATGTCAACATCTATGAAATAGCCATGTTCGAGATCAACTTTTATATTTAATACTTTTCGCCAGAGTTAGTATTTAAGACTTACTAAACTTAACTTTCCTGATTACCAGACTCAACCGATTGGTAGAATTATAACACGGTGCTGCATAGAGTTCAGAGGAAGACTGAGCCAGTACTACACACGTAGCCATACATTTCTTTGTTAGGTACTAGATGCGCATTAGCTGAAACACCCTGTATTCGTAACACATGCGTAATAGGCACGTAGCAGATACGTAACATATACGCAACAACCTAACAGGACGTATGATGAATTAATAGCATATATCAGGAACACTCAAACCTTCAGTGGGACACCGAAATCAAATTTTTGTCGCGCACGTATGTCAGACGTTAGCGAAAAGTAAATAGCTCATCGAAGGCGTTCACATAAAGGAAATCGAAGAGCACTTACTGTTTGTAGGCGTAGGCGATGTCGGCGAAGTACTTTCTCCGCTCGCGGTACTTTTGATCTGTGAATCCCTGAATGGAGAAGATGTGTTCAAGTGTGAAGTTCAGAGAGAAAGGAAAGGAGGGGTGAAGAAGGTGAGTTAAGCATCAAGTGCCATACCGTTTAGAGTAACTGCAGAGAATGAGCACAAACTTTCGCACTTAGCAAGAAACATGTAACAATTTATAGGAGCATGTTAGTGTTACGCAAGCAGTCTCGGGTACAAATTGCTGTCTTTAGTTTGCCTTAGTTAGGGCGACTGAAGCCCCCCTAGATGCAGCATTCTTAGTTGAGTTGCCCGATTGAGCAAGATTGTCTAGACGGAGCAATCGTGATTTCCTTCAAGTGAAAATTGCGTTCGCTAAGCTTAATGACTGCTGCTTAGACGTAAGACATGTGCATCGACATCTAGTGCAACCTTTTTGGCATCATTTTCAAGGACCATTTTTTTATGAAGAGAAACGAAATACTTGTTCAGGCTCAAAGCAGGCGTTCGCGAAAGGACACAGCATGAAAACAGCATCACTGAATGAAGTGGTGCCAATAAACGTACGCCACTGTTTTGAGTAGCTACGCTAGGTAGGAGCCTAAATAAGTTAGCTGCTAGCCTTTCTTCAAATGTCCTTCCACTTTGGCACCATAGCAGTCACTGATTGCCCTTGCTGCGACACTGTGGCTTTTTTTATTGTTCCAAACAAGTTTTTCTGGTGTTTTTTACCAGTCTTTCTCAATGTAGTCGCTCAGAGAACCATTATCAAATACTCAGCGAGCAGTTTACGACACGTAGCTCGAGCGAAAGCGGTCGACTTTGCAAACTTTGTAATTCAAAATATAGTAAGTTTGCTTTTTGAAACTTCTGATATCAATTTAGTTAAAAAAATGTCGCCATTAGCTGATGTAATGGTTCTTACAAAAAAAAAGTCACAGCTTTGCCGCAAAGGCGAAGCAATGAACGTGATAGCAACAAATTTGAAAGTCACGCGCAGAATATCAAGCAGATAGAAACGTGCCCCGCGTTTCTCACGCACAAATGACGCACGTAACGTACTGACAGGTACAGATTAACACAAATAAGCGTCTCAGTTGTTACTTCGCTGTGTCTGAAAAGCGCGCCCTTTTCGCAAATGGAGGCTGTGCAACGATTACAGTGACCTTTGTGCGTTCGGTAACTACAACAAAATCACTCCGACGAAACTAAAAGGCTAGCCAAGACGTATGATTATCCCCACTGCGACATAAGGGCGTGTGATCGAGCGTACTCCCCACGTGGGCCAAAGTACAGGTGAGAGATGAGAGCTGCCACGCGCTCACTGTGCCACCTTGCTGATAATGCTGAAAACACGATAGCCCCCCCCCCCCCTGGATGCCCGCCAACAGCAGTAAGTGGAAGATATGAATAGCTTGCCGTTTGAACATTCATGGAGGTACCTCTCGGTGGCTCAGTGGCTAACACCTTGCCTTCACGACGCGGAGTTCTCACGTTCGATTCCGCACGCCGGCTTTTTTTTCTTGGATTTTGTTTCTATTGTTTTCATACATATAAATACGTATACATGTATGGTGCATGAAGCCGACGCTGGAGGTGAAATGCAACCTGGAATGTCCATATAATTGTTATCGCAATAAAAGAAATTGATAGCTTTTGTTTTAGGGACCTCCAGGAATTTTTTTGAGTGTAATGTCCGAATAAAGTTATCAATACAGTTTGCCTAGACAATTTCATTTTACATGCCAAGTCATAGGACTGCAAGTTACCTGGTCTATCTGCAAATGAACTTTAGTCTTTCTTCGTGGGTTCCCACTTTGTACGTTCCAATGGCGGCCACCCTCAGCACGTGACCTCGTATCCTTCACAAATGCTTCCCCGAGGTTGGACAATTAATAGGTAACCTGTATGTGCGAATTCACCCACAATCCTTCGTTACCTAACGTCAAACGTTTTACCTCTCTCCCACCCTCGGAACGTCCAGAACGTGCACACACCACCGAACGAGTGCTTTTCAAGGAGTCCCATAGGTTCTGTCACAATTGGTCTTTATATGGGACATAAAAAGGCTGCTGCGAATTCGGCTTTGAATGATGTGCTGTCGATATTGCTATAAAAAGATATTTTGCGTCGCTTTTAGACAAACTGGTCACGTGAATAAATGACGCTCATCAGATAGGCATACCCGGTCCCTATTGGTTTCTTCGAATCTCCAATGAAAGTATAACCCACGAGTATCTTCAAAAAGAGTCTTATATAAGGAAAAAGGTGAAACCGTAGCCAAATAGTGAAATGACTTTTTTTTTAGCGTGTACTGGAGACAGAGCACACGAACTCTTTCTTTTTTCGTTAGAAACATGGTGACTTCTGATCAGAAATTACCGGGTGATCTGCATCCAGTTCAGATCCGTAGCTGAGAATCTGATTGGCGAAAATGTCCAGATCCTTGATCTTCCTCGGAAACCAGGGCAGAGCGTCTGTAAAATGGCATCGATAACAGGGCGATCATGGGCGCCTACACGATAACGTTATGAACGGGAATTATACCTTTTACTAGAAGCCATATGAAACTGTTAAGCATGTGTCGAAGAACTTCTATTGAAAAATAACGTAATAAAAGGCTACATATGCTCTTAGTAAAACGCGTCCACAACGTAGGTAAACAACTCAAAGCCTACATGAGAATTTCTCAGAAAAAAAGTTACACTATCAGTTATTCCTTTCTTAATCTTTCCGCTACCCTTTAAGATTCTGCTGATGTAGTGTGCGGTATTTTCTATATAAGACTTCCGTCACAAATGATTGCGAAATGCCGCTTTCGGTTCATGCAAAGAACTAGCGGAGCGAAAACGCTTACCTTCTTCCTTGGGTGGTAGGTCACGCGAGATGATTTGCATGTACTGTGACATGTTCTTGATCTGCTCCAGCGCCTGGTGAACTTTGCCCTCAGTTGGGTTGAAGTTCACGATGAACTCATAGCCGTCCTTGAATCGCGCCGATGATCTCGACTCGATGTGCACCAAGTTGACCCCATTCTCCTGAAAGCAGGTGAAATTATATTACAGTAAAACGCTGCCTGATCAAACATTTGTCACTCTGGTTTACGCGCAGTTTACTTTCCTGTGTGTCTTCACTTGACATTTGACATGTTCAGAGACACCGTCAAAATCCCAACATATCCACAAAGTGAATGCAAATAAGTGGGGCGAGGCGTCCGTCAATGCATCCGTCGTTCTGTCTGTCAGCGCGTTTGTTCATCCTTTCGTCCGTCCATCCAACCGTTCATCCGTACTTGCTTCCGTGGGTCCGTCCGTCTGTGCGTGCGTCTGCCTGTCTGTCCATCCTTCCGCTCCTGTCATGCTAGAGCACGCATTGTACGGATGGACACTTCGCCCCACACATCATCATTTACTCCGTGGATATTCAGGCTAAGCAGGACGGAAGAAAGACCAACCAGGTGATGCCATAAGGAGCTTCACCCCTAAAAATCACAAATTAAGCTGAGAATCACAATCTTCCGGTTCAGTCATGGGCAGATCCCTGAACTTGAGTGGGGAGCCTCCGGCGTATACTATAATCATTTTCTTCAGGCTGTTCCAACAAAGTATCTCATCAGGCTGTCACACACATACAAAAAAACACATTGTAAACACTCGACAAGCGCCGCTCTCTTTTTCCCGCAAATTTAGCACTAGCTGTAGCTGGATAATTTCTATTTATTTCCTGTTCCCGAATATTTCTGTTTAGGTGTAAGAGGGCACTACGAGAAAATAGGTGTTACATGACACCGACTACCCTTATCATATTTTATGAGGCATGAATACATTTTTAAGTCGGAATACGTAAGATGCACATACCAGACAGAGTCTTCTCAGTGCAGATGCATTAACCTCGGTACTTGAACATCGGGGCTGTGAAATGTGGTTCAGATTTCGAAAATACAGGAAATTACCATCGTTAAGGATCGCGTTTCGACGAGTGCTAATATTTTCCCAGATATCTCTTCCAAATTCTTCTCCATCTCTCTTTTTTATCTCAACCCAGTGTGAACGACCCTACCACTCGTTTGCTTGAACCGGGCGGGCAATAGGCGCGTCTTTCTGAGAATGCAGCTTACAATGTCATGAATGGGTGAGTGCTTTCTCACCTTGAAAATGTGCAGCGCCTTTGCCAGGGCACCAACCTCTTCTTTGAGGGAGAAGATGAGGGAATTGCCGCTGCTGGTCAATGTCTTCGGCTCCATGATATAGGCCTGAGATACGCGTGTTGGCTGCAAAATGAAAGGTGACTGATTTATTTACTCATCTCGAGCAGGAGGGAAAAGAATGAAGAAAAATAAGAGAGAAAGGTTGGAAGGTCAACCAGACGAGTCTCCGGTTTGCTATCCTAGGCTTGGGAAAGGGAACTGAATAGTTGAAAAAAAAATAAAAAGATAGCACTATAAAATAGACACGCGTAAGCTTAAACTACACTTCTGCGTTCCGTAGCAGTGGAGGCAGGGCTTCAGGAACACAAACATAGAAGGACTTGAAGCTTAGCCAGGTTTAGGACCGGCTACTTACGCTGTGCCATAGAAGGACGTAAATGACTGGAAAGCGCTGTAGCAAAAAACGTGGTCATACCCTATTTTTAGAAATCAGTTTAACACGGTAGTGAAACATGTCCTCGCACGGGTAGTAGAGAAATCATAGCGCATTATTTCGCCACAGTGGGGAAGAAATAAATGCTACAGCAACAAATTGCTATGTTACGCAAAGAACAGGAAACAGCTAGAAACTTGCAGCACACACCTTAAGCAGAAAGAGTGAACAAAATGAGCACACACAGGACAAGCGCTGTCTTGCAACTGTCACAGCTCGACACTTAAAACAGGCTGCTCAAGCAAAAAGAGCCATAAATATTTTCACGTCAGTGGCGGGAACAGATTTATAAAGCTTTACCGACACTATAGTCATCCTCCAGATAGTATGACAGGCACTAGATCTCTTTCCACCGGCAAAGCTGAAAAAGTACCACTTATGAATTGTTAGATCTACGTTGTTGGAAGACACACGCATAAGTTCGTGGCGAATACCTTGGTCAAATATAGACTTCGTTGCCACTATGTCGATTCGGGAGGGAAGTCGGAATTGCCCTCTTTTTACTGTGGCTTTCCGGAATCTTTCCGCAGCCAAGGACACGTGGCGTATTTCTGAATACTCCGGGGCGATACGCCTGGAACGATGCTCCGGGGCGTGACAATTTCAGTGCTGGTTGCGCAAACTTCGCTGCACTGCTTCCAAGTGTTTGCCATAGCTTTGTTCCATGTTTTGTCATCTGTCAGATGGGTGGTGTCACATTCAGTAGGAGTGACTGGTGACGACAGCACAACTGTTGAAGCATCGATATTGATCGCTGGCCTATCATTAGAAGTTCGCAGAATCTTAGACGTTTGCGACCATACCTGCGTGCTTGTACCAGCCTGCTTCGTGCAAGGTTTATTGCTGCGTGAGAAGGTTTTATAAAGGCGTATCTCACATGCGTACAGACCGAGCACCGTTTGAGAGTCATAAGGGCTTTGAATGGCTCCCCTGGTGGACGGAAGGCGACAATCTTCTCGAGGCAATCATCAAAAAAATCGTTTTTCGGGGTCGACTTGGTTCTCTTTGCGTGTCTTGCTCTCGTTAGTACTGCACTGTCGATAATCTGCGTACTGTTTAGAACCAATGGGTGCGCATGTTTCTTTTATCTTTCTCCTGTGCAAGGCACAGTATGGAAGCGCGTCATCAGCTTTAGTGCGTGCACTTGGTGGGACCAGCGCTAGACCGAATGAGCATTGGTGCAAGGCTTTGATTGCACTGGTACAACACGAGCCAGCGGTGGTGCAACACCAACCAGTACTGGTGCAAGACTAACCAGCACTAGTTCAACACCAACCAGCACTGGTGCAACATGTACCAGTACTGGTGCAACACGACACAGTATGGACGCTACATCAAACAGCACTGGTGCAACACAAATCTACAGACATCCTTTACTCTTTAACCTACGTTTATGTAGAAGCGTGGATGCTTGAGGAAGCTCGTGAGACATGATCGAAAAACTTCACACCACAGAACAACAAGAGAAAAAAAGAACAGTCAGTACGAGCGCTAACGTCACACTTTTCCAAGCTTCTGTTTTTCTAAGCTTAATCTCAAGTGCGAAAAGCTCTTTCACCATTTTTTTCTAAGGTTTCCCTGCGGGCTTGTTGTTCCTAGTGCATACTGTGAAACACTGTACTGGCGAGCAAAAAAATAGACACACTCTAAGCAGTAAACAAGAAAGAGGGGTATCAAGGTTCTCCTTCAGAAACGTAACTAACCTGTCACTTCCATTGCACTCCTTCTCACAAAGCCCGGTTATGTATAGAACACGCTATGCTGATGAAAGTGCGTCATTTTTACTTGTCGGTACGCTTCACGAACGCTATCGTAATCGAATGGGCGTTGAAGGTACGTAATTGCTTTATGATTGATCATTGTTTTTCTAAAAGACGCCATAAAGTTTCACCTGTTCCAATAAAGTGGAAATCTTAATTATACATAACTTTTGTTAAAGCCAAATTATAATACGCTTGTTCTGTTTGAGACTCATTGATCCCTGCATTAGTGACAGCCCTTAAATTTGTTTATTGTCACGCATCCTGAAATCCTTCCTCTGATTGAAACTCCTGCTATGTCACTGTTGCTTGAATGAAAGCTAGTTTAAGTGTGCCAACACTTCAGCCGCGTCCGTGAGCACTTAAACTTGAACCACTTTCTAAAACTGTCATTCCAATAACCCAATTCTTAGAAAACAATCACTTTCTTCCCACATGTTACATGGTTGCACGGATAAATCGTAATCTGAACATTCAACTTCCCTTCAGCGGCACTAACAGTGTTCAAGCTTCTTTTTGATTTTTTTGGTGCCGTTAATAAAGAGTGACTGTGAACGGCTTCCTGCCTTTGTTTCTGCAATACACGGCTGCCTTCAGCGTTGCCGTTAGTGACAGTAAATATTCAATTATTAAATCATATTTACTTTTCATTTATGCGTTTATTACTATACTGCTGATCTCATTCGATATCATTGCAGGACCAGCACACAGCAAAATGAGACACACAAAATGTCATATCAGAAGAAACAAAATCAAAACAAAATGGCGAATGAAAATTGCTCAATAAAGAACCAACTAAAGCTGCTGCCATACAACAGAATCGCCAGGAACAGCAGCAGCAGCAGTGGCAGCAGTAGTAGAAATACAGTTATTTTATTCTGTTGTGCGCGTTTTCTGTCGCAGTTATCTGATTATGATTATTCTACAAAATATTAGTGTCTCTGAAAAAGAAAAAAAAAACAAGTACACTAGGACTAGTGTAACTGAGTGATAAAGCGGTGGCTTCTGTAGTTTCTGCATATGTGGCTAGGGATGAAGTATTATTGTATAGTTTATGTATTTTTTTCTGTAATTAGATAGTATATCTAATAGGAGAGTATCTGAGGCAGGTTGTGTTGGTTGAATAATCTGCCACTGTTAGACCATATTGCTAGACCACTCCTCCCTGTAGAGCCCTGCAGCGAGGAAAGACTACGGCGGATCTTCTGCGACTGTCCTCACTACAGTAAGCGGATAGAATCGCTCGCTGTTTCTCTAGTTCATACAGACAACGGACCGATGATGGCAAAACCCAGCCTAGTATGTGGTCTGAGAGGTCACCACGGGTGACGCCGATGAAGACAATGCGAATAATTTTGAGGTGATCAGATTTGCACCAGTGGTTGTAGACTGATGGCCTTATCATGACTATGCGGTGTGCGAATGTGCGGGTTTTCTCACCCTTCTTTCTTCATTTCACTCTCTCTCTCTCTCTCTACGCTTAAAGCTCCTCCATCCCTTTTTCCAGTATAGAGTAGAAAAACCGGTCCTTCTAGACTGGTTAAGAACCCTGCTTTTTTTTTCACCTCCTGTTTCCTTCCTTCCTTCTATTCTCCCATTCGGTTGCGCTAGCATGAAAACTAATAAATAGATAAATACATATTCAAACGAATAAGTCAAACTTAAAATAAGCATTATATAAAATTTTACTAACACGCATAACATTATGATATCCTGGGATGGTTCGCAAAGTTTGGCTACCTTGTCCAAGTTTAGTTAGTTTTTGAGATCTTTGGCAGCAGAAGATTTCTCGACTACTGGGGACCCTTCGACTACACTTGTGGCTAGTTTTCTCTGCTTGGCTGCTACTTCGTTCCGTTAACATAACCCACGATAGCGATATCTTTACTGCCGCAGCCACTGCGTCTTGAGTAGGCGATCTCATAACGCGAAGATCAAGGTGTGTTTTCCACTCTGAAAAACTGAACTTTGCGCTTGAATTGCATAAAAGAAAAATAGTTTCGAACACTCGTCAACATTCTAAATAACAAATTCGATGAAGTGCCTGTGTTATTTTTTGGGATCAGGAACTTACTTCGACTGGAAATATCAAGCTTATCATACTTGTAATCAAGCGATAAATGATGACGGAAAGTAACTACAAGTTTTGCTCCAATTCCAGCAACTGTGAATTTGAGCGCCCTCATGCAGTGACAATTTTTATTAGCAGTGCATGTCCTTCTCAATCCCGACTCGTCTCCGCAAGTTTTTGTGCAGTTAACGTGATTTTTCATGGCATCGCCGTCACCATGGGAGGCATAGCAAGCATTCTGCACTTTACCTGGTTTTGCACGGCATTCGTAGGTGGCCCGTTCTTAACGTTTGAAGTTTAATGCATCATTTTTATTGATATATATGTTTTGAGTATTAGCAACCCAACAATATAGCTGAGGGGTTGCTAACAGCATTGCAACATCAAATATAATAAATGGCAAAAGCATGAGAACGGAAACATTAAGCCATCAAAAAACACAAGAATATAGACATCAACACCTTATGGTTTGATGTGGAATGATCATTGTTGGCAAACAATAAAAACATGACTGAAATGATAGGGTGTAATAAAAAGAAAAATAAATTATTGTGTAATATGTATGGAAGCGAAGCAGATGATATGTAAAATTAATGACTACAAATGACTATGACAGGATGAATTTATATGAAGCTAGTGTTTTAGTGGTTATCAAGCAACGTTGTCATGCTATGGTGTCATCGTGTAACGCCTTGGCATGTGACGTCCTGAGGACGTCCTGATGACGTCAAAATAAGACGACCCGATTACGTCGAACGTTGTGCTGATCGGCGACGTTATGATGATGCCAAATGCTTAC